AACGTGAAACGCGAACGTGAAAAAACGTGAAAAACGTGAAACGCAAACGTAAAAAAACGTGCAAAAACGTGAAAAAACGTGAAAAAAACGTGAAACGCGAACGTGAAAAACGTGAAAACGAGAACTGCCAACATAAAAAACTTGCAAAACGTGAAAAAAACGTGAAAACAAGAACTGTCGACAAAACGAGAACGACTACAGAGATGGAATGTTATTTATTCCCCATAATCTCTTTTTCAAAGGAATCTACTTATATCTTTACGACATCAGATAAAAGTATATGTTTTCTAAAAGGTATATTTCAAATGCTACCCTTAGTAGTATAGAAAAGCGAAGAGACTGCAAGTACATTCTGTCATTAACGCTACTAAAAGTTTCAGTGAATAGAAAACTTGATATTGTATGAGAACGAAATGGATATCGAAGAAATAATAGTTGTTGAAAGTGATGAAGAAACAATGATGCATGACAAAGGCTCCTCCTAGATACCGAAGACGAGGATGAATCTAATGAAAATGAAGAATAAGGTATGTGTCACAGCATAAGTGTATATAATTCTTATTTTACAATATATGCATATATTAGCAGAAAATATCAAGATTTGAAATTCTATTTTAGGTGAGCTTCGACTCGACTCCAGTCATACATGTTATGATAACATGGAGTTACGCCTACCGAGCAGCCCGAAAAGGTCCTTGGGAAGAAATTGCGCGAGACAACGAGAGATTTAAGAGACGTATAAGATCTATCGCGATTGTCCTCGATCCAATTTTAAAAAGTAAACATCGCTCACAAGTTTGGCGGGAACGATTCGCTCTTCCGGATTAACTCTTTAGGTCAATTTATAACTATATATTTTTAAATATAAAAGATGATTGAACATTGATATAAAAATTACGTTTTATTTCTTTTCGTACCTTTTACCTGTAGTTAAGATCAATAGTATTAATAATAATTGTACTTGCATGATAATAATAACGTAAACGTGAACCTTCGAGAACATGTCGGAACATGTCACCAAAATGACGTCGCAGTCCACGTGGTAGCGGCGCGTTCAAAATGTCGGCATCCGCACACGTGACGGCGGTGGCGACGGTGGCAGCACCGCGTTCAAAATGGCGTCACCCGCACACGTTTCGGCGGTGGCGACGGTGGCAGCACCGCGTTTAAAATGGCGTCACCCACGCACGTGGCGGCGACGGTGGCGACACCGCGTTCAAAATGGCGTCACCGCGCACGTGACGGCAGCGGTCCACGAAAAATATA